TTACCAATCCACATTTTCATGTTCACTACAGTGTAAAAGTTCTCTGTGATTGTCTCTGTGCACCTAAACTGCTAGACCATTGAGGACTTTTTACACCAAATCAACATGTGAGCCAGATCTTTGCTTGAAGATAAATTGTAGTCATTTCCATTAATATGTGCAAGAGAATAGGCAGTCTTGTATTGTGTTTGAATTCGCAACGGAATTTAGCGTGCATTTCATGTCTTCCGCTTTCTCGACAGGCCCCAACAATAAACAACACACCCCCAATATTGATTGAAGTACGCACTTACATAAAGCCCACCATACTACTTCTCCACTATCATTCTTAACTATATACTTACCCTCTTAGGGTAATTGGCCTTCCCCTCATGATGGATCATTACAGGATCGAACCGAAGCAGGTGATATGTAGACACTTCAAACCCGCCTCGACTACGAATGTATCCAGGTGGGTAACACGCTAGTACTGTGACACGATTATGGTGGCACTTGTTTATTAACGAATTCTGCTGATAAGTCTGGATAGGTGCTTTGATTTTAGACGAGCAAAGAATAACTCTCAACGTTGTAATTGATGAATGACGGCCATACATGCACTCCTACACACACAGATCTATGCACACGCACGTGTATGTGAGAGTGTTTTTTTATTTTTATTTTATTTTTATTTTTATTTTTTTTATCTATTTTATTTAACAAATTAAGCAAATTCAATGAACACTTTTGACTAATTATATATTATATAAAAAGCACACTCGCTTACGCCCACTCTCATTTGCTCAGCCCTCTTCCTTTCATGAAATGAATTTGCTTAATTTGTGCTTTTTATTGCCAATCAATAAATTGGTAAAGCAGCCAGTCAATTGATTATTTAAATTATTGCAAAAGCGATTTCATAACCATTTCGAAAGAGAGAAAATAACGTAGCAGAAGGCAGTCGCACGTATATTTTTGTCGAATTTCACAGGCTGACAGAAATTGTAATTGCAGTGTTTAGAAGTGGCAAAATTTGTATTTCACTACGCTCCAGATGCTCTACAAATCCATTGCAGAGATGACAGCAAGTTAATTAAGTACGTTAGGTAACTTCCATACAGCAAACGATTTTAGCAAACGTACACTATTACTAACAGAAAATGCGTGTATATGTTGAGAGAGGATTTTCTACTTGTCTGATGCCTCTCATTCAAGCATACTTTCTTCCGCAAAAATATTCTTTACGACTTACTCAAAATTCCCTGCAAATTGGAAGCTTTTTTATATATATAATATATAATTACTTAATAGTGTTCATTACCATGAACATATACTAAAATTGGAACAATACAGAGAAGATTAGCATGGCCCCTGCGCAAGGATGACACGCAAATTCGTGAAGCGTTCCAAATTTTTTGTGCTTTTTATCCTACTTTCAGTAGCTGTGAAGATATTGTTAATCTGATCAATATTTTTCGGATTTTATTTAAGATACAATTTAAAAATTTTCGGAAAGTACTGCGGAATATTAATATTTGTGGTATGAAGTTGTAGTCAAGAAAGAGATAATGAAAATGAGTATTGTTCCTTTTCTTTATTCAAACTATGTTAGCTAAGAGGAGAAGTACAAAATGATTCTCATCATCATTTCGACTAATTTTTCTGATCTAGTTAGGAGTTAGGTCAGTTGCAATTTTTGATAGTTTGAGTGTTTGTTGTAGTTTTGCTGCTTTAACGTGAGATATTTAGACGCTTTTTCTCCATGAAGTTGAATTAATGCAGTCAACAACTGATAATTACTATCATTTGTTTGACTGCAGCGTCATTACATAGTTTAACTTTTTGAGTAAATATTTACGGTAAATGTGACTGAGTATGTTTAAGTAAAGTAAGAAATTTTACTCGTAACAATTAAAATTCATCTGACAGTAGTTATATAAGAGGCCAAGTGATGGACATTTTAATTAATAGTCTGTGGAAGCCCCGGAAGAGACTGATATGGCACATTGCAGAGTTCGGTGATGGTATATTGTCGTGGTTTAAGGTAGATGAAGCATGAAGTGTCGTATATTTGTCCCACTAATAAAGCTTTGGTGTTATCAGGGTGTTGATGTTGTTAATCCATTTTTTATCAGTCCATTTTTGCAGTCTTGGTGAATACTGCTATTATCACCAGCTGTAATGAATGCTAGCGCAGCTAAGTGTAATCTGAAGAGTATTCTTATACTTGCCTACTTTTAAATATACTGCATTTCGCCAATACTCGAAAGCACTTGAAATATATCGGAAGTAGTTCCTACCGTGCAGATCTGTGAGGTCGATCTTTCATCGTCCAATTTACTGAGTGCGAAAAAAAAAGAGTAGTTCCTAGTGCACTGCATAAGTTCTGAAATATTTAAAAAACCTAGCCTGTCCTTAATTTCAGTCTTCCTAATTTTAATTTATCCCGTTTTGTAAGGACACAAAAGTCTAAACTTCTGACTACAGAAATTGGTGTTTTTCTAGAATTATAATTTTTGTCATAATTGCCGATAGAAACACAGACTCTTCTCACATTGTGAATCTCAACCATTAAAAATTAGTAAATCTGCAAAGAAAAATGCAGTTGCCGCGCCACTGCTCGAGTCAAGCGACAGCAGCTAAGTACGTTCTCTTCAAATATGACTGTAAAATGTAAAGCACTGAGTTTTATCAAATTTAGGTCACAGCTGCTTGCATTTGTAATTTTAATTGAGCAAATTTTGCAGGACAGAGCTAGACCGAGTCGTTGCAGATGACATTCGCAACCCCCAGCTTGCAGCGGAGTGCCTCACTCCAACAAGAAGTAAATATTCAACTAACGCATTTAATTAATAAGTGCTATCATTTCTTTATGGCTTTTAACGTAAAATATATTGGCGAAAAGCGATTAAAAGTTCATCACATTCTTTAATGATATTCTCAGGCCCAAACACGAGAATTAGATACATGGACGATTTTCTCGCTGTCAATTATGCAATCGATGATCATCGATGGCGAGTCGTGTGCGACGGGAATCTCCAAGGTACAGATGTTCGAAATATGCCTTATACCATTTTTAATATAAATGATGAAGATTGATTACACAAAGCTTTTCCTTAATGTTATTAATGATTTTGAGGATAAAATAGTGGTATGATGCCGTCAGCGAAAGCTCCGTGTATGGTTGAACCAATCCCGGACTACTGTGCAAAATTGTAAGTTCTTCTGTTATCCAATTTATTACTTAATATTTGCTTTCCTGGTTTATTTTCTCAATCAATGCTTCAGGCATAGACGAGGGTCAAGTCGCTCACGCATTAACCCAATTCCGATGAGGCGCCTCATCCCAACTTTTGAGGCAGCAAACCTTAGAATTTTTTTAGAGTTGGAAATAGAACTGCGAGCGCCTCTGAAGAATCTCTATGTGGTGTGGGATGGACTGATCCGTAAGTTTATTTTTGTGATCATTAGATTAAAAGAAAATTAACATGGGAAGAAAACTTTTATTAAGATTCGCCTGAACTATCCCGCTTATTTTCAGACTGCAATCTCGCCAGGTGCTCATTGACGCGCACCGAAGCGCTGGCATAAATCCGAGCGTAAAGGCTGCATGAGTCAAAATGAGTGCACACGCGCTCGATGGTAAGAATTTTTGCTGCACTTTTCTTTGCTACTTTGTAAATAAATTAATCATTTAATTAGTTGCTGCCTATTTGTGATAAACATTCCAAAATAATTCTTGACTAGTATATATTTGAATCTTTTACTCTTTTAGGATACTGCCATCGCTGCCGCATGCACATCGAGTTTCCACCTAACTGCTCGATTCCGACTGCACAGGTATTTTTGTATTTAATTATATACAAAACTTTGAATATGAATATTTGCATTTAAAGCTTTCCATACCGTACGTTTAAAAACTCTAATAAAAGCTTAGTGAGCGGTAAGTTTTCTAGTAAGTTTTCTAATAACAAGTTTTCTAGTAACAAATTTCTAGTAACAAGCTGGTAAGTTTTCTAGTAACTAAATAATTAAATTATGAATCTGATAATTTCTTGAATATTTAATTTAGAAATTCTTTCAAGTTTACCTCTGCAAATGGCATTCCATTATAATACTTGTTTTGCGCCATTTTGGTCTACTGGATTAATAATTGGCTTTTTTACAAAGGTCAGTATTCTCTTATTCATCCATATCTAATAATCTAATGTTAAATGATAATAGAATTGAAAATTTTTGAATACGAAAGCTTTTTCAAGTCTCTTATCGTTTCAAAAAATTCCAAGCAGTTTTTTCTTTTTATGAAACTTTACGTAGACAAAATAATGTAATAATTAAAATGTTTTTTGCATTAATTGAATTGTCTGTAATCTGAAATTCTG